GACAAACTTTCTGCAACGCGTGGAAAAAGCAAGCTGAGGTCGTGTTTATACATAGCTAGACCTTGCGGGGTTGTCTTTATGATGACACACCTGGCACCAATAATAACCATGCTTAAGTTTAAGGGACCTTAGCAGGGTATCTATCGGTTCCTATGTTTGTTGACACTACAGGTGACATAGGATTGGCTGCAATTGCAGCTGCGTCGGACTTTGGCTGGGTAGAGTTTCATGCAACAAATATGCAACAATCATAGGAACAAGTGCATCGTGCATCGCTACTAGTATCAAGTGCATTACTACTAGTAGCAAATAGCTACTAGTAGCTTCTTGCTACTAGATCTACTTACTAGTAGTAATGCACTTATAATGCACATATATAAGTGTGATTCCGTGATTCCTCTCTTCCAAGGTTTTCATGGTTGGGCTGAAACATGCCGGTGTAAGTTTCTCTCGCAGCCTCAAAGCCTTCATGTTTCCACTTCGGGATCTGCCTGCCGCAGGAGATAGCCTAGTGACTAGTGGTGACTCTGATTGGTGGGGTTACCTATTCGCGGCATACAACCGACTTGTCCTCAGTTCTGTTTGCCCTTGGAAACACTTCGCGGACAAGTCAGTATAAGTATAAGTAAGAGTTGGCACCTATGACCTGTATGTGGCCCGACAAATGAAGAATTTGTCTAAGTCATGTTTTCCAGGGCCGGAACTCATCCATGTACTTAATACCACTCAACTGAGACCCATGGAGCAGGCGGCAGCCAACAGGCAATCTACCCAATCTACCCCTGGAACCCGCTCCATCAGTACAGCATCATCTACTTCCACAGGACGCTTGTGGCGGCTTGGTTCCTGCCTCCTCCCCCCTGAGGCGCGCATGGCCGTGCCTTTGGCTGTGGCTGGCGCCTTCCACACTGACTTCATGGCCTGGGCACACGGTGGAATTCGCTGCACCAGCCGCAGAACGTGGTCCTGATAACCATCCCACACACTCCATGTATGCCATATATGCTTACATTGACCCCCCAAACTACCCCAATGTATGTAAATATGCGATACATGGAGCGTCTGGGCATAGTTTCCTCTACCAAAGAAATGCTTGTGGCTGTGTCGATGTTGTTGTGGGACCCTGTGAATCGTGTTCGTTGAGGCCACCACCTGAATTCACCGTTTAGAAAGGCATGTTTGTCCTTTTAGAGATTGATGCAGATACGATCCTCCACGACGGTAACATCGACTGGTTTTAAGGTGTTTGACTTCCAACCGAGCACATCGTCGGCTTCGCATCAGGCGAAGTCGATCGAAATATTTCGCAGCGGATGACAGGCCCCTGCCGTGGAAAAACTTGAGGAGGTTCTCGCCAGCGACGGAGCTCAGAGTGGTTGAAAAGCCTCGGTTCGGAAGTCACGTGTTTTCGGTTTGGAAGGTCGCCTTTTTAATATGCGTTATGTTCTGGTTGACTGGTTGCCTCTCAACGACTGGTTCTATTTGACTCGCCAAGTCAGTAAGAAACCAACCCAAATGGCAAGAACAGGATGATTGTCATGATTCATGATGATGTGTTGAGCTCCCTGGCTTCTCAGGTGTTGAGCTCAAAAAGCCTCGGATTCCAGTGGTCTCCAACGTGGACGCCAAGTGTGGGCCTTTGATGGCTGGATCCTGGATATGGGTGTGGTGTATATTTTAATAGGGAGACTTCCAAATACGCTCTGCAAGAAGGGAAATAGACCAAAACCCATTAGTATTGGTTGGGGTCTCCCTATTAAAGTACACACCCATATGGGGATGGGTCGGAGCCCTGGTCCATCATGTATCTTGACTCCCAGGTAGGTCAACCGGTCGGTATCCTGAGCTTTGTGATCAGGTGTGGAGGACAGCTTTGGGGCAGTGATGAGATGGGGAGGGGACGGTGTGCAGATCAACAGCATGTCAAAAACACAGAAAGCATTGTGGTAATAGTAATGTTTATGATTATATAGTTATTCTTGAATTCTACAATTCCTGTCGCACTTGTGGAACTACAGTAAAGATTTCGACTGCGAATGGACCACCTGCCCAGTACAAAACATTCAGGGGTTCCGAGTCTAGGGGTTGTGAACTACCAACTGGAAGGCTGAACCTTTCAACCAACTGGAAGGTCAGCTTCCTTCCTCCGGAGCCTAATCCCCAAATCTCCTCACATGTCCGAAGCCTTACCTCTTGGTAGGCCACACTCTGACCCGGAGTCCATCAAGGCACTGGTGGGTTTCGCAAGGTTTTGCGCTCCTTAGGGCTGGCGCGGGACGATGGCGGCACCAGGGTCTTGCGACGATGAGGTGCTGTCTGTTGTCAATTCCTTCTGCTTGCATGTGATGGTGGTCAGGGGAACAAACAGGCTCCAACCCCACTGTAAAGCTTTTTGATGCTTTTTGTGTTCTTGTGTCATTTGTGTCGTTTGTGAAGAGAATCGACTGAATAGAAGGCACTTCTTTGGAGCAAGAAGAGTTCCCAAGTCGGCTTCGGAGCGGTGCCGTGTCTTGGCCTGTGCCAGGCCATCCTCGCCAAGCAGGTCACGGCTCCTGTTCAGCCCCTTGGTACAGGAGAACCGCTCAGTTCGACTGAGCTGTGCCCCCCCTGAGGAGAGCTGAAGCCCCTTAAGACTGCCACGCTCAGACTGACTGCGCTTTCTGTCAACGACTGTCGGGGTGAAGCAGAGACTCTCGAGTGTGTTGCTGGGCGTCCCCACAAATTGGTGGTAGTCAAAGATGATCGACACAAACTAATGCGAAGACCGGATTCATAAATCTCCACGTGGAAGGTCTAGAAGGTCTAGAAGGTCTGAGTTGCATTACAGACGATTTTGACTAGTCCTGTACTTCTGCCAAGGTGGGAGACACAGATGAAGGCGGGTGCGCACCATCCATCGCGCGATGTCTGGACATGGGTGGATTTCACGGCTTGATGTGCAGATCTGAGACATCCTATAGATTGTTGTTTGAATGAAGAAATATGAACAACCACATGTTTTCTTTGTCAGGAATCACCTGTTTTGGTGCATATGTTGACCTGGTTTTGCCATGTTTTGCCCGTATCCCACCGTGTGACATCCCATTAAAACGATGTCATCACCGTATCAAAATGGACCACCGCCACCAGGACCTGAAATGGTTCCAACATGAAGAGGATGTCCGAATTGGCCAAAGACTGTACTCGTTTTGACCACATAATAAGTATAACTTGTGTGTGTCTTTTCTCCCAGACGAATTTGCAGTTTGCTTGCTTTAGGTCTTCTAAGTTTGCCAATCCTCCGAAGCTTCCCAGTGTCGTTTCGGCCGAAACCGGTGAAACCTCTGGCGACATGAAAGCTCTCCTGTCATTTCAAGTATGCCATGAACTGACCAATCTGACCTCTGCCGGGGAAGTCCTATGACATCTATGACCTACGATCCCTTCCTTTTGCAGGACCTCTCTGCTTCGGGTGGCTTTGAGAAAGGCTACGAATGTGGCCCTGGCAAGGCCGGCAGTGCTTCGGTTTGCCGATTGCCAGACACCGGTGGAACTGGAGTGCGCGGAGCGCGGCGCGAGCGCATCGCATGCGGATGGAAGGGATTTTGCAGTGGCTTCATACTGACTGGGCTGACTGGGAGCTTTCAAGAGCTTTCATCACCAAGCTGGTTGTGGGATTCAGCATGATGTAGTTGCTTCTTCTCGTTAAGAGACTAGGTTTGGACATACTTCTTTGCGGTTGTTGTAGTCTTTTCACCTCTACGACCTGGTTGTTGTAGCGACTGGTATGGCTGCCGTAAATTCTACAGGTCGATGATGCTTGCATCCACCCAGTTGAGCGGCAGGGTGCTGAATACTGTCGATCCCCTTCCGAGGTCCGATAGGAAGGAGTCCCCAAGATACATCTCAGATCATCTCAGGATATTATTGTTTTCTAATGGACTTTTAGTTTCACCACAAGGACCTGATACTCCTTGCTGGCCAAACAACGCATCGTTCTGCTTCGTACAAGCAAGATCCAGGTCATCGCTGGTATCATGAAGAGGATCGACAAGAGCCTTGGTCGGACTGTTGGCTGTTTGAGGCGTCGATGCGTCGAGGGTGATTCGATTGGCACGGCCGGGCACGGCATGATGCGCTCGGAAGTAGCTCAAGGCAAACGTCAGTATATCTCACTATATTAATTGACAAGCCATTGTACGACAAGCAATTGCACCAAATCTTTGGGAAACCCAATCTCCATAATACTCTTGCAGGCAGGACGATCACATTCCTCCAAAAAACAAAAACGTTGGAAGTATTTTGTCCACTAGAAGGGTGTGGTGACCATCATGAGTTGATTCTATGGGGTGTGAACTGACCCTTGATGTGTAGGTGGATAATGATAGATAATGATAGATAGATAGATAGATAGATAGATAGATAGATAGATAGATAGAT